ATGATCGGCAAATGATCGGCAAATGATCGGCAAAATGATCAACAAATGTGATAATATGAAGTATGTCCACCCTGCTAGCAACAGGTGAATCATTAGAATCTGATTTACTCTAAAAGGAGATAAAATCAGGATCATTTTTATATTTAAAGAACATTGATGATTTATGATGTGTTTCAGAAGACTTACAAAATTAGTTTTCTTTATTTTAAATGTATCAATGATTTGATTGCATTTGATATCATCATTCATTCCATACACATTATGAGTGGCAAAACTAAAGGTATTTCCTGATATAATCAAGAATATCTGTATTGTGTAAGTATTCAATATTATTGTCAATAGTATTAATTTCTATATTTCTATTTGTGTAAAAGGTATTTATTTGTGTATTGAAAAAATTATCTACGTCTATTTGATCATGAGAGTCAATTCAGTTATTAGTAGAATTGACATTAATCTGTGATTCATCTAGTGTGGAGGTTTATAATTGTTAAGCCAGTGGCCCATTCAGGTTAGCAAAAGAGAGCATTGAGAATCTAGTTTTGCTAAATGTTTTTTAATAGAATTCAGTTCTTGTAATTTGCTAAGAATCAAAGTTAATGGATCGGTATTGTCCTTGAGATTAGTTGAAGGTAAAACATGATCTTTTCCTTTTTGAAAAATACTGGAAGGTGATGGATCAGTAAAGTTATTATTTACATATCTACGAGTTACAGACTGTTATGAACTTGAGGTATATGAATTATTATAAGAGAAAGTTTTAGGTTGTGATGTGATTGATGAGGAAGTATGTTGTAGTGTATAAGATCTATTAAGCTTACGAAGTCTACCATCTAGAAGGTATTCATTATGTGATATTCTAATTTTACATGGGTTAAGCATATCTTCTTTAGTAGCAAAAGCAAAATAAGCAATATGATCATGAAAGTAGCAAGTTTTTCCATTATAAAGTCGTATGGTTCTCATAGCTTCAGAAGCTGTAATGTATTCTTTAAATCCCTTAAACCAGCCACAAATCGGTTTCAGAGTTTAAATTCGTCAACAGATGTATCAATATGAGTACATCTAATACAATATTTAGAAATATTGACTGCCCAGACTTTTTTTAATTGTTGAGGTTTACGAATTTTAGAAAAAGTAATAATGATATCTCTATTGGAAGGATTTCTATAATTATGTTTTTCTTCAAGTGATGCAATATTTCCATAGTATGTAATAACTCATTTGATATCATCGAGATCAATTAAATATGAAACTTCTTTAATTCGTAATCTGTATACAAAGTAGAGATCGACATATATGATAATCAGGGCTAATCTATTAATTATATTAAATCTTTCAGAATCTCACGCTTTGACATATAAAAATAATGGATAAAAGTAAAAAATATGCTGTAACGCTTATTTCTGCTGGCCAAATTGTAGAAAATTTATATTTTGGACTATTTTGTTATGATTGGTAGCTCATATGACCCAATAGAACTTCTACATATACTTTTCTCCTCCCAATTTGTTTAGAAATGAAAATTCTTACAGTTTTAAATGACTGTAACTTTATAATTACAGTTGTAAAAGGATATGCCAAACACCCTAATTCTCCTGGATTTTTCTGTTGCTCTGAAGAAAAGCAGTCGGGTATATGCAGTTCTTCAACAGAAGCAATTAACGCCTGCTATAAAGAAGTATTTCACTCTAATGCTAAGTTTCCTAGTCCACCAGTTATGGGTTTTGATAATTCAAATGTTGTAAAGCAATTATTTAGTGATGTTATATTTTGTCCATATACATTCAGTTTAGGAAGACTAAATATATTTGTATTAGGAATGGGAAAATCAAAGAAACTGGAGTAGAATTATGTAGGAGATGAATATAAATCTATTTTTCAATGCAATTCGAATAATGTAAGGTCAGTTTATGTTCAGAAGTTGGAGCACGAGAAATCTACAGTTCAAGTATTCATTAACAATGCTTTTGCAAAATTGTATAGCACTAGTGATCCTAATAAAGTTTGGTTAAATATTGATAGATTTTCAAATTATACTGAAAAAGTTCTTTTTGAATTAGAATATTCATATACACAACTTGCATTGAACAAGTACAAATTCCTTCTTATATAGTATTATAATAGGCTCTTGAAGGGGTTTTAGAAAATCTTTATGAATATCATTTGAAAAAAAAAATGTGTGAAATTAAATGGCATGACTTTTTTGATAAATGATTGAATCAGGAGAGTACTATTATAGAATTGCGAGAAGCTATTTTAGATTTGTATCTACACAACCATGAAATTAGTGATTGAGAATAGTGTGCTTGGAAAGCATTTATTCAACATGCAGATTGTACTAACATTACCCCTTTTAAAAGGGAAATCTGAGGTGAATAAAATCAAACTTTATTCTTTTTATTGATTATATTTTGACTTTGTTTTTTCAGTTTGAATTTTGGTCAAGAGCACATAATGCACAAATAGACAATGCAACATTACAAGTGCTATATAAATCTGAATCCTTCCAACCACGTTCAGAAAATTTTACTGACATATTTTGGCAAGTATTTCGTGATGCATTAGAAGGTGCAAATAGAGGCCCAAATGGGGGTGGGTTAAAGCTGTATTCAATCACGTGACTAATCAATTGGTGGAGCACGTCAGAAGATCAATAAGTCACGTGAATAACAATAAATAAAATACTTGCATAATGCGCATTAAAGATGGGAACTGTAATTAATATGTTGCAACTTTTAATGTTGCAACTTATGTTGCAATTAGTTTAACCTATATATGTTGCAACTTATAATGTTGCAACATATGTTGCAACTAATTTTAGCTTATGTTGCAACATTTTGTAAATTTGAAATCAATTGCTGTACCATCTTTAATGCTGAGCAAATTTTCGAATTGTAGTAATATTTACTAATTCTAAACTTATAGGAACTATTTGTTGTAATCCTGACCAAGAATAATCACAATTTTCTTGAATATAACGCTTTGCTGCCCCCCAATATCGTTCAATAAAATTTAATTCACAGTGAAATTTAGGATAAAAAATACATATATGACCAGCTTCTTCTATTACTTCTTGAAGTATACATTTTTGTGCAAGAAAGTTAGGTTATAATAATATAATACGCTTTGCATAACATTTAGTTTACGTTGGATCATTTCGTGTAGCTTTATTTTTACACAAACTACAATTTGCTAAATATTTTTTATCCCAAAGTCCTCTTTCACAAAGAACCTGTTCCATACCTTTAGGTTTTCCTTGAAATTCTGATATATGATAATTATCAGGAAAAACCATTTCTTGATATTGATTATTTGGTCTCCATACAGTACTTCGCATTTATTTTGTTTTTCTCCAGGTCGAAGATTCATCCGATTTGCTACCAATGCATCAGAACGATATACTGAATGGTTTGAACTGTTATCAAAAGCAAAAACTGCTATACAATTAGGAAATAACGCTTCAAAGATTGGTATTGCTTTATATTCTACTTGTTTAATTAAATGTTGAATAGTCCAATAACCTTTTTAATTTTTACTAGGTATTAAATAAACACACGCTTCATTTGATACAGTTGGATGTTTTATTATATCTTTTTGACTTAAACACAAACGTTCACATTCTTCAGAAAGAAATTCACTGATCATAATGGACCTTCTATTACCTTTTTTCGTAATGGTAATTCACCATTTGGAGTACAAATTTCTCTTTTACCATCATTAACATAAAAAATACACTTATTATGAGTGATTAAAATGTGTTCTTTTTCACCATCTTTTAATTCAGGAGGAATACATTTCATATCATCTCCAATATACTTTGCCATAAAGGTTTCATAATAAGAAATCTCTTCAAGAAATTTTTTTCAGTAAATTATTACATCTTCACGTTCATGCCCATCGTAGTATATGCCTTGATGATGTTGTTGGTAAAAAAATCCAAGAATATTAAGCCATCGGGTAGCTGTTGTTAATGAAATAGTTTTTTTAGTAATATTCATTCCAACAAAAAGAGTATTTTCAATAAAATCCTTAAAAGCTTTTAGAATAACACCATCATTTTGTAATTGAATCCGAGTTTTACACCTATTAGCTATGACCTCATCATCAATTAACCGTATAGTCTTTTGATGCTTTCCTTGATAGATAGGAGGAAGACAACCTATTTTTAACCAATATGCCGCCCATTTGCAAATTATTGTTGCTTTATAGGAACCGGCATTAATAAATACTATTTTAGCAGCTTCCAAACTTGCAGCCATTTTCCCTCTCCCATTTTTATCTAATCTTTGAAG